TTCCTCCACTAACCTAACCCCTTTCCAATGTGTGTTAGGTTACCAGCCGGTTCTGGCACCTTGGCAGCAGAGCCAGATCGAGGCTCCTGCGGTGGATGAGTGGGTGCGGCGCTCGGAGGAGACATGGAACGCTGCACATGTCCACCTGCAGCGGGCCCTCCGTCGTCAAAAGGCGAGCGCCGATCTCCACCGCAGTGAGGGACCAGTGTACGCACCTGGTGATCGAGTCTGGCTCTCTACCAGAAACCTGCCCCTCCGCCTGCCCTGTCGGAAACTGGGTCGGCGGTTTGTAGGGCCATTTAAAGTCCTGAGAAGATTGAACGAGGTGTGTTACAGATTACAACTACCTGTTGAGTATAAAAGTATTAACCCCTAGTTCCATGTGTCTCTTCTCAGGCCGGTGGTAGCTGGCCCACTCCAAGAAAATGAGATCAGACTACAAAGGGAAGCACAGCCGCGAGCTGCCCAGTGACACGAGCCTACCAGACGAGCTAAATTACTTCTATGCTCGCTTCGAGGCAAGTAACACTGAAACATGCATGAGTGCATCAGCTGTTCTGGATGACTGTGTGATCACGCTCTCCGTAGCCGATGTGAGTAAGACCTTTAAACAGGTCAACATTCACAAGGCCGCAGGGCCAGACGGATAACCAGGACGTGTACTCCGAGCATGCGCTGACCAACTGGCAAGTGTCTTCACTGACATTTTCAACCTCTCCCAGTCTGAGTCTGTAATACCAACATGTTTCAAGCAGACCACCATAGTCCCTGTGCCCAAGAACACTAAGGTAACCTGCCTAAATGACTACCGACCCGTAGCACTCACGTCTGTAGCCATGAAGTGCTTTGAAAGGCAGGTCATGGCTCATATCAACACCATTATCCCAGAAACCCTAGACCCACTCCAATTTGCATATCACCCCCAACAGATCCACAGATGTTACAATCTCTATTGCGCTCCACACTGCCCTTTCACACCTGGACAAGAGGAAAACCTATGTGAGAATGCTATTAATTGACTACAGCTCAGCGTTAAACACCATAGTGCCCTCAAAGCTCATCACTAAGCTAAGGACCCTGGGACTAAACACCTCCCTCTGCAACTGGATCCTGGACTTCCTGATGGGCTGCCCCCAGGTGGTAAGGGTAGGTATCAACACATCCGCCATGCTGATCCTCAACACGGGGGCCCCTCAGGAGTGCGTGCTCAGTCCCCTTCTGTACTCCCTGTTCACTCATGACTGCATGGCCAGGCACGACTCCAACACCATCATTAAGTTTGCCGATGATACAGCAGTGGTAGGCCTGATCACCGACAACGATGATACAGCCTATAGGGAGGAGGTCAGAGACCTGGCCGTGTGGTGCCAGGACAACAACCTCTCCCTCAACGTGATCAAGACAAAGGAGATGATTGTGGACTACAGGAAAAAGAAGAGGACCGAGCACGCCCCCATTCTCATCGACGGGGCTGTAGTGGAGCAGGTTGAGAGCTTCAAGTTCCTTGGTGTCCACTTCACCAACAAACTAACATGGTCCAAGCACACCATGACAGCATGACAAAACCTATTCCCCTTAAGGAGACTGAAAAGATTTGGCATGGGTCCGCAGATCCTCAAAAGGTTCTACAGCTGCACCATCGAGAGCATCCTGACTGGTTGCATCACTGCCTGGTATGGCAACTGCTCGGCCTCCGACCGCAAGGCACTACAGAGGGTAGTGCGTACGGCCCAGTACATCACTGGGGCCAAGCTTCCTGCCATCCAGGACCTCTATACCAGGCGGTGTCAGAGTAAGGCCCTAAATATTGTCAAAGACTCCAGCCACCCTAGTCATAGACTGTTCTCTCTGCTACCGCACGGTAAGCGGTACCGGAGCGCCAAGTCTAGGTCCAAGAGGCTTCTAAACAGCTTCTACCCATAAGACTCCTGAACATCTAATCAAATGGCTACCCAGACTATTTGCATTGCCCCCCCTCTTTTACGCTGTAGCTACTCTCTGTTTATTATCTACGCATAGTCACTGTAATAACTCTACCTACATGTACATATTACCTCAATTACCTTGACTAACCAGTGCCCCCGCACATTGACTCGGTACCGGTACCCCCTGTATATAGCCTCGCTATTGTTATTTTTACTGCTGCTCTTTAATTATTTGTTACTTTTATTTTGTATTATTTTATATTGTATTTTCTTGTGATTTTTTTGGGGTATTCTTTCTTAAAACTGCATTGTTGGTTAAGAGCTTGTAAATAAGCATTTCACTGTAAGGTCTACACCTGTTGTATTCGGTGCATGTGACAAATAAAATGTGATTTGATTTTGATTTGAAAATGCATCATACAGGAATGATTTCTGTATTTTGAAAGTTACATATCTTGAAAACATGATTGCTGACAAGCAAAACATATTGGGACTATGTCAACAATGGACTAATGAAACAAATACCAAAATATCGTTTTTGGGTGGAGTTTTCCTTTAAATTGTATTGTGTATGGCTCAATTTGCTGAAATGCTGTGATCACTCATCTTCTTTAATGTTGTGATTCACAGACACACGATGACCACGATTTGAATGCTGCAAATGAGACGGAATGATGTTGAGGGACGCGCTGAGAACCCGAGTATGACTGGACAGGTAACAAAAAACTAGCCTAGTTTTCATGGCACATTGTAATTATCTGACTGCTACTAGGATAGTATTCTGTACAAGATACAAGACCAAATGCATCACAGGAGGTTGGTGGCACCTTCATTTGGGAGGAAGGGCTCGTGGTAATGGCTGAAATTAGTGGAATGGTATCAAATACATCAAACACATGGTTTCCGTGTGTTTGATGCCATTCTATTTGCTCCGTTCCAGCCAGGGAAAAAAGTATTTGATCCCCTGCTGATTTTGTACGTTTGCCCACTGACAAAGACATGATCAGTCTATAATTTTAATGGTAGGTTTATTTGAACAGTGAGAGACAGAATAACAACAAAATAATCCAGAAAAACGCATGTCAAAAATGTTATAAATTGATTTACATTTTAATGAGGGAAATAAGTATTTGACCCCTCTGCAAAACATGACTTAGTACTTGGTGGCAAAACACTTGTTGGCAATCACAGAGGCCTGACGTTTCTTGTAGTTGGCCACCAGGTTTGCACACATCTCAGAAAGGATTTTGTCCCACTCCTCTTTGCAGATCTTCTCCAAGTCATTAAGGTTTCGAGGCTGACGTTTGGCAACTCTAACCTTCAGCTCCCTCCACAGATTTTCTATGGGATTAAGGTCTGGAGACTGGCTAGGCCACTCCAGGACCTTAATGTGCTTCTTCTTGAGCCACTCCTTTGTTGCCTTGGCCGTGTGTTTTGGGTCATTGTCATGCTGGAATACCCATCCATGATCCATTTTCAATGCCCTGGCTGAGGGAAGGAGGTTCTCACCCAAGATTTGACGGTACATGGCCCCGTCCATTGTCCCTTTGATGCGGTGAAGTTGTCCTGTCCCCTTAGCAGAAAAACACCCCCAAAGCATAATGTTTCCACCTCCATGTTTGACGGTGGGGATGGTGTTCTTAGGGTCATAGGCAGCATTCCTCCTCCTCCAAACACGGCGAGTTGAGTTGATGCCAAAGAGCTCGATCTTGGTCTCATCTGACCACAACACTTTCACCCAGTTCTCCTCTGAATCATTCAGATGTTCATTGGCAAACTTCAGACGACCCTGTATATGTGCTTTCTTGAGCAGTGGGACCTTGCGGGCGATGCAGGATTTCAGTCCTTCACGCCGTAGTGTGTTACCAATTGTTGTCTTGGTAACTATGGTCCCAGCTGCCTTGAGATCATTGACAAGATCCTCCCATGTAGTTCTGGGCTGATTCCTCACCGTTCTCATGATCATTGCAACTCCACAAGGTGAGATCTTGCATGGAGCCCCAGGCCGAGGGAGATTGACAGTCCTTTTGTGTTTCTTCCATTTGCGAATAATCGCACCAACTGTTGTCACCTTCTCACCAAGCTGCTTGGCGATGGTCTAGGAGCCCGAAATCTTTCTGACTGAGAGGGGGTCAAATACTTATTTCCCTCATTAAAATGCAAATCAATTTATAACATTTTTGACATGCGTTTTTCTTGATTTTTTTGTTGTTATTCTGTCTCTCACTGTTCAAATAAACCTACCATTAAAATTATAGACTGATCATTTCTTTGTCACTGGGCAAACGCAAAAAATCAGCAGGGGATCAAATACTTTTCCCCCTCACTGTATGAGCCTTCCTCCCCTCAGCAGCCTCCACTGAAATGCATTTAATAAGACAACAAATATATGAAAATGTTCAATATATCTTTCATTTTGGATCAAGGTAGCTAGTAGCTAGCTAGCTGACAGCAAATGTGTCAGAGATGACGTACCGGAGGTTGCAGGGATTTGTAGTCTTGCTTGATGTCTACTTTGATGCTAATTAGTATTTTCGAATCTGAGAGTAAATACAGCCGAATATATTGATAAAAGTCACTTTGTCAGAGAGAGATTTACACAGTTATCAAAACGTCAAGCCAGGGAAAACCTACATGAAACACAGGCCTTGTTTGAAGTGGTTCTAAACTCCCCTATGGGAAAAATGTATTTTGAAAAAACTATTGGAACCATTTCCGTGTTTGACTCTAGGATTTATGTGTATTTTGACGCGTCCACTGTGAGGCTAAAGTTTTAAGAGTGTAAAGTCATAAGGTGTATATGCGTGGCTCGCAAACGGCCCAAGCAGGGCAGGGAACACATGCGCTGGAAGATACCGCGACATCTCTGAAAAATGTGCATTACTGTAGCTCAGCTGCTGCTATAGATGTCAAAGTATAATTTGTTCAGTAGATATTTCACATTTCATTGCACAAATGTAAACCAGTCCAGGTTTCCCAATGTTTTCTTACAAGTTTAGTCAATTTCAGCAGATAGTTTTGTAAATCGTTCTAGGGCTTTTATTTTGAAACACCACGGAAACCCCGGAAGTAAAGCACGGATCCAACAATTCTTTACATTGTCATCAATCTTTGTAAAGCAGTGCAGAGCAAGCAGTTTTAGTGTACAGCAGTTGTTTCTAAAACTGTAATGCGACCATAAACGGTAAGGAAGCTTTTTCATGTGTGTGTAGATAAACCTTGAATGCTACACGTGTTATTAACGTGTAGTGACTTACTTGTTGCAGTTTACAGTATTAGTTCGACTGTCTCTATAATCAGTGAATAAGCCTAGCTATGTTGTTTAGCCTAGCCTACTACAGTTGCCCACAAGCAGATTTACGAGTGCTGCCTGCCACATGCAGTTGTCTAGCTACAAAATCCCACTGTGCTTTTAAACAATATTTCACTAGTGAAGTTACAGTAGCTATGTTTGTCAATTAACCTCATCGTTTATTCAATGAATAATGCTAGCTATGTTCTCTTTATAGAGGGCAGAGATGACAGTGCCAGTGGTGAACCTTTCTTTTGCTGCGTGTGGATTCCTGGGTATCTACCAGCTGGGTGCATGTGGAGCCATACTGAGACATGGAGACAAGCTGCTGGGCACTCTCAGGGCATGTGCCGGGGCATCCGCTGGAGCTCTGGTGGCTGCAGTGATGATCACTGCTCCAGACAAACTAGAGGTAAGATAGTAAGGTCTTCATCATCATCCTAGTCTTCTTCTCCTTCATCTACTTCTTCAATTTGTGTTGTGTTTAGTCCTACTGCGGGTTAATAAATGTGGTATTTTTCCAATAGAGTGTCAAAGAATTTACCTTCAGATTTGCCAAAGATGTCAGAAGCCAGAGGCTTGGAGCTGTGACTCCTGGATATAACTTCATGCTTACACTCAGGTAGTCACTTACTAACTCAGAGAGAGCTATACACTGAGTATACCCCCCCCCCCCCCCCCCCCCCCCCCACGGTTGTGTCAAGTTGGCTGGATGTCCTTTGGGTGGTGGACTATTCTTGATACACACGGAAACTGTTGAGCGTGAAAAACCCAGCAGCGTTGCAGTTCTTGACACAAACCAGCACGCCTGGCACCTACTACCGTACCCTGTTCAAAGGCAATTCAATATTTTGTCTTGCCCATTCACCCTCTGAATGACACACATACACAATCCATGTCTCAATTGTCTCAAGCTTAATAATAATATAATATAAAATGCCATTTAGCAGACGCTTTTATTCAAAGCGACTTACAGTCCATCTTAAAAATCCATCTTTAACCAGTCTCCTCCCCTTCATCTACACTGAGTGAAGTGGATTTAACAAGTGACATCAATAAGGGATCATAGCTTTCACCTGGATTCACCTGGTCAGTCTATGTCATGGAAAGAGCAGGTGTTCTTAATGTTTTGTATACTCAGTGTATAGAAGAGTCATATGTGCACACATAGTTAGACAGGCAGAAACACAGAGACCCAGTTGGTTGGGTTGAATGGGAATACATTTTTACTTTATGTTTTGTATATTTCTTTGAGTTAAAGCCACATCTACAGTAGATAACTGGGTGTTATGTAAATCTTTTTTCATTCGTAACACCTTCTTTATCATAAATTGAGCTATTCATGTGTGGGAGTAAACAAAACTCAAGGCTATAGAACTGAACAATGGTTGCATTTGGATCTTCATTAAGTGCATGCATTACACAGCCAACAGATTGTGTAATAAGTGCATGTTTTATTACAGAGCCGTACAGTGTTGTTAAATTAATTATTAAAAACATGAAAAACAAGCATCTGTCCCTTTGTTCTGCCCAGGGAGGGCATCGAGGAGTTTCTGCCTGGCGATGCCCACAGTAAAGCAGGCAATCGCCTTCACATCTCTATAACAAATTCAAAAAGCGGCAAGAACACCATCGTATCCAGCTTTGCCTCCAGGGAGGACCTCATAAAGGTAGCCTGCCACAAGCCTGAGCAGATTATATTACTGTATCTTACTATAAACCTTGACTTTAACACAAAATGTTGTCGTAAATGTTTATGAGGAGCATGGCCATTGTTTTCCCCCTGATACACTGCATTGTTTGGTCAGTTCTGTGTTTTAGCCAGTCAAGTGACTGAGCAACTCATATCTTACAATATGTGTGGGTGAAGGAACATTTACAAATCTCTTTCACTACATATTTTAGGATTTGCTCTTACCGAATTCATTTGCTTCTTTTAATTTAAGGCACTCCTGGCCAGTAGTTTTGTGCCTGTCTATGCTGGAATCAAACCGGTAGAATGGCAAGGACAGGTAATAACTTTAACTGCATCTCAAACTCAACCAATGGATGTTATCCATTACGAGCTTACTGTTACTTTCTGTTTGTTTATAACTGAAAATCAATAAACTAACTGTAACACATATCCTTCAGAAATGGATTGACGGGGGCTTCACGGATAGTCTCCCCATCCTGCCAGAGGGACGTACCATCACAGTCTCCCCCTTCGCTGGTCCCCAAGATATCTGCCCAAAACACAGAGGGCTCATGAACCTCCACCTCAAACTGGCCAACATGGACGTAATGGTGAGTATCATCACTGTTTGATTACATATCCACAGGGATACAGACAGTACACATCTTCGACAAGTGTGCATTGCATTCATTGTATGGTTTTCCACATCATTTTGCATTGTTATGCGGAACTGTAATTTAGTGGCTGCCTAGACACAGTTCTTTTGCAGTATGTAAATTGGTTTGATTTGGCAGACGTTTTTGTTGATGTTTTGTGTTGTTTTATCCCTCAGTTTTCCAAGGAGAACATCATTAGGTTAAACCAGTCCTTGTTCCCTCCATTAGAGGAAAGGATGAACCAGTATTGTAAAGAGGGTCATGACGATGCAGTGAGGTTTCTGAAGACAGAAAACTGGATCCAGTAGGATTGTATTTCAATTGAGTATTTTTTGTATTATTTGGAGAAGAGCAGTGTTTTTATAGTGTTTTTACTACATTTAAATATGGTGAAATCAAATTATTTATTTTAGATTTTGAAGTGTGATAGATTGTTTAAATAAATAATGTAAGTAAAATGTATCATTTGCTCTTTGCACATTCACTGCAAATCCACTGTAGCCCATAAAATCAACAGTAATAACTACACTATAATCTGAGGAGACGTTGGAATATCAGCCAACTGCGTGTAACTATATCTCTGATGTGAGGTAGCTAGGCCTTGATGGACTTCCTTGATGAAAATCAGTCTTTGAACACGCCTCACCATCAATTTCCAGCAGCGATCCATTACCCCTGAGCCAGTAGTGGCAGGCGGTGGGGAAATCACTAGGGTACTTCACAGAAGTACATAATATAACGGGCAGTGGCGTCACGCTAACCTAGCAGAGGTCCTTCAGCTCCTCCAGGACAAGGATGGAGTACCCCTTTGATGTTACCATAGAAATGGTTGTTTGAACTCCGCATGTTCTTCTCTCCTCCTGAGGAACCATTTAACTTCCTCCGGGTCTTAGGTATCGACGTGCACTGTATTAAAGATCATTATTTTTACGGTGGTTGAACTCACACACACTCACTATAGACACCTCTCTCCGGATCTTCTGAGGATACTGCTTCTTCTTCATGCCTGGATAGAAACCAAGGAAAAATGTGCTCTGTTAAAATGACTCACTGTTTTCAAATCCAGTAGCAATTGCTGAAATACTCTAACCCCAAAACATCAAAGAACCATATCAGCATATATTAACACTACAAGGCTGAATTATCATAACTACTTACCCAATGTGACTGATAAAAGCCTAATTGTCCAAAAATACTTTGATGAGTTGAGATAAATAACATGTTTCGCACTACACACTCATCAGCATAGGGCAAAGAGCTGAGATTTAGCTTGATCAGAAAACACACAATGACTATGACATTTTTTTGTGCAATCATAAAATGATCTGTTGTATCACAATCAATGTGTCAAATGTACATCAGTTGTACATCACCAACTAGGCCATACAGTCCTGTAAGTAAACAGGATTTACCATCCACACACTAAAGTGAAGTGCCCATGGTGTTTTCCTACTGCTATCCAGCCTCCCTGCTGTTGCTAATAATGAGCCAAGTTTTTGTCCACAGTCCTAATTAACACCTGGGGACATAGATTCCCTGGCTATATGGTTTAGGTTTTCTCCTCTCTCTGAGGAAAACGCTATTCTAAATAACACCAGACGACCAGAGGGGCTATTCTACAGGAAACGTCCTAACTAAAAGACGCATCTGTACACTTCATTATTCCACTGCCTACTACAATATGTTCTCCTCTGTCTAAAAAGCACACACCTGCAAACAGTTACGTGTGTGTGCAGTTTATTGGAAAAAGGCTTTGCATTATGATTGCACCCCTTGCATTTATGTCGATATCCTTCAACTGTGAGAGGTCCTTAAAAGTCCAGCAGCTACATTCATTTGAATACCAAATGAAAAAGCAAAGTAAGCAATATGATCATCAGATGTCCTACCAGACATTGCTGTTGCACTTGCACCATGCAAATAATGCTGAGTGGGGTAAGTATTGCACTTGGTCACACAAACATTCAATTCAAGAATAACATCCTCCCCATGTCCCGATCCTAAACCTAGGACTGTGACTGGAGGGTAAACAAACTAGTTTTGGAGGCTGGGTATCTCTGTCTGCATCCCAAATGACTATATCCTATATAGTGTGCTACTTTTGACCAGAGACATATGGGCCCAGGTCTAAGGTAGGGCACTAAATAGGGAATAGGGTGCCATATCTCTGAGGTGCACATGTGCATTGGCAGGCCTGTCCATGCAGCGCTGTGCTGCGCTCCACTTCTCTGGCGTCCGGGAGCAGAGAGGCTGGGCTGGATGTGATGGACCAGTGGCCAAGCCAACACAAGGGTTACGTCCCAAATGGCACTCTATATAGTGTACTACTTTTGACTAGAGCCCTGGCCACTGGTCAAAAGTGGTGCACTATGTAGGGAATAGGGTGCCATTTGGGACCTAAGCCCGAGTCAAAGACAAGATAAACAGCTGGCTTCTATCACTGCCAAAATCTCTCTGTTGTGGATGGATCCAATAATGATCAGCCGCCGTGATTACAGGGCCATGGATGGAGGAAAATAATTAGATTTATACACAATGTCAGAATATCAATCACAGTTATAGTGATAGTGGCTGTAGTTCTGTATTTGGCAGTGGTAGTTATTGGTAGCATCAGTAGTGCTGTTGTAGCTGGTACACCACACAAATCAGATCATTATTCATTTACATTAGAAAAATGTCAAAAAGTCAATGAACTGTTGAAACAAATTAACACATAGTAATAACAAAATAACAAATGGCATAAAATGCTACGCCTAGTGGGTGTGTGGGAACGCTCACAAATAAATCATATAAATGACTAAACAGCGGAGAAAGCACTCTTTAATATTCAGAGATTTGCTAATGGTAGTCTGTGAGAAATAGACTGCTGGATATAGAGTTAAAGGGAGAATAAGATACATATTAACTAAATGTCACAGAAATCTGAGATCAAATGAAGAGCTAAACTTAAAGCTAGTCTGGGTAATGAAGATCTGCTGCGGGCTGTGGCCACAGGGGGATGAGCCGTGTGTGACTCAGGGACTCTGGCTGACTGTACTGACTGCTGGCATTAGACACGGCAGCTCTACTGAACATCTTAATACAGCTCTATTTGTTAATACAGCCATGTCTGTTCATGTTGGTTGTCCACTCAGTTTCATTGCTGCTTGGATGAACAGATGCCTTTTACAGAGACCCTGTAGAGTACAAATGATGAACAGTGATTAAATGATCATCTGTACTCTACAAGGGTAACACAGGGTTATTGTAGCGCCCAGGAGCATATGGCTAGAAATGGACCTTGTGGTAATCAGTGCATTGAGTTGCTCTGCTATCCTATACAATGTGCTAGGTTTCTCTGCTATATATCCTCTTTACTGTATATATGAGGACTGGCCTCAACAATCACATTTGATTCATATTGCGCTTTTTTACAAATACATTTGTCACAAAGTGCTTTAAAATACATTTTAGTCAAAATAGCAGCCTCGGCATAACCCCCTCAGGGAGCAAGCATAGGCAACACAATTTACTGTACATTTTAATGGATGTGTTCCTGAGAGGGCAAATACTCAAATGTCTGTTATTACAGATGCCCCAGTCGGTCACACACACATGTAAAGTAGATCCAGGTCACTTCTACCAACAAGCCCAGTTAAAATGGGGGTATTTTCCCTCCCGTTAGTCTCTTGTCACAGATTGTTTACATCCATACTAAAAGATTGGTTCTGGGTTCCTACGTTACCCTCCCCGCAGTGTTAAGCAATGATGTGCTGATCCTGTGGAGAGTCTGCCTCTACAGTGCTCCGGTGGCCGTCTCTCCCACCATCTCTCTCACACCTGCAGAGCTGGGACAGGGAGGAGCAGCAGGGCTGCAGCCAGGGCTTCCATAGGAGGTGTCCTGGGGCGAGCTGGTCCTGAACGGGGGTGATGGACTCCTTATGGAGGGCCACCGCAGCCCGGATCTCCTCCAGGACCGAGTGGAAGGTGGGTTCCGTGTCTGGGGTCAGGGGCGTGGTCTCCGAGGGGTCGCGGGAGAGGTCAAAGAGCAAAGGGGGGTCATGGTAGGTCACGTAGGATGCGGTGCAGAAACAGGCATGGGTATGCATGCAGGCTGTTCCGTTCTCGGGGTAGAAGTCCGGAGTGAAAAAGAACACCTTCCATATTGAATAACCTTAAAGATTTACAATGAATTACAACCACCATAGTAGTTTAAGTTTCAAGTTAACTTGCTTACAAAAAACATTGGAATTCTCACTCAATCATTATTAGCAGCATCGTTACAGTAATTCAATTGCATTCTTTAAAAACGATTACATTGGAAATGTGGACTTACTGTTGGGAGGATGCCACCTGACAGCGTTGAGGTAGGCATTACAGTTATGGAAGAGAAACTCATGCTTTGATCTCTCAACTTCCCCCTGCAGCAGGGGCATGAGGTCATGACCGTCTATCACTCTAGGAAGAGAAGACACACACAGAACACACACACACACAACACAATAAATTATCTCTGAGACACAGAAATGGAGCACACTGTAGGAATGATCCTCTGCGTAGGCAGAAAGACCTCAAAGGCCCTTGAAAACCTTTGATCAAAGTTTAGATCAGCCTTATCCGTTTTGAGAGCTTTTTCATTAGCTGAGATTTTTCCTAGCAGGTCCCTGGTGACACCTATTGTGAATATAATGTCTCTAGTTAGGGTGATTCAGAGCACTAAGAGTGCATATCGTTTCTATGGTGACCTAGATTCCAAACACTGTGGTTTTGACTGACAGATGAGGCTGCCAGAAAACCTACCTAGTGCTTTGGGCTTACCCATAGAAATAGAGGTCCTTGAACAAACAAAGCCCCTCAGACCTCAGCAATTTCACACTACTCACCTGTCCCCCAGTGCCATCCCTCCGGCTAGCTTCACCACAGTAGGGAAGATGTCCATGTTGCTGGTGGGTTCATCAATGTCTTTCCCTGCAGGTAACATCCCAGTCCAACGAAGCAGTCCTGGAACTCGGATCCCCCCCTCCCAGTTGGTGGATTTCCCTGCTGCTCAGAGACAGATCGAAGCACTTTGTGAGGACTGAGAATATGGGAAGTCCTTCATCACTCGACTGAAATATAAGGCTTACTAGAACCTTTCATGCAAATGTCTCGTCTCTTATGCATGAGGACATAGATCATCTGTGCAATTTATCTACTAATCTATTATTCTATTCTATGCATTGACTGGCTCTGACTTTCCATTTACATGCTTATTAATATACCCTACTAAACCACTGCAGATGCAAACTAAAGCCTTTCTGCACCTGCACTTCAATGTTGAATATTTTTACTTCTATTTAAAAAAAAATTTAACCTATTAATTAAAAAATGTTTTAACTGAAAATTTGACATCTGGCTGTTCGGCCTCTGTTGACTTGTTCTTCTGAAGCTGTTACAGACTGTACCTTTGTATATGCTGTTCCAGCCCCTGTGCAACTCCCCCCTGTTACAGACTGTACCTTTGTAGATGCCGTTCCAGCCTCTGTGCACCTCCCCCCAGACTGAGATCTCCTCAAGGTGCGCCCCCTGGTCTGAGGTCAGGTAAACCAGTGTGTTCTCCTTCAGGTTCAACCGCTCCAGAGTCTGCATGAGCTGACCTACAAACAAATGTTATGAAACAGGACTTAATAGGTAAAAACCAATCAAATCTTCCAACCTCTCAAATATAATTAGTGTGGACATTTCAAGTCTTCCAACCTTTTAACTTATTGGACATAAAAAAAAAGGCCATATAATAATATGCCATTTAGCAGACGCTTTTATCCAAAGCAACTTACAGTCATGCGTGCATACATTTTTAGGTATGGGTGGTCCCGGGGATCGAACCCCCTACCCTGGCGTTACAAGCGCCATGCTCTACCAATTGAGCTACAGAGGACCATATAGCGATATAGAGTAAATATCAACTCTTACCAACACTCCAGTCCACTTCATGAACAGCGTCTCCATAGATACCGTGCTGACTGGTCCCCTGGAAGGCTGGTGATGCAAACATGGCCGTGTGCACTTGAATGAAGGAGAAGAACAACAGGAAGGGTAGTGCAGAGTTCCTGTCAAAATAGTCAATAGTGTAAATGGAATAAAATAATTGTATGACAACTAATGTGTACAGTTACAGTATGCTTTTATTTTACCGACAGTCACCTAGGTCACCAACCCTTTACACACACTTTCCTTACATACCCTTTAGACTTTCTTCCCACTCGCAGGACACAAACAAACATCAATAATCAAACACACTCACGCACGCACACACAAACATGCAATTTGGCTTCTATTCTGTCTCAATCTATCATGTAGTAGGGGAGCAATAAATAAAAAAACTCACCTTTCTAAAAAGTCCACTGCTTCATCTGTCATTCTCTGGGTCAGGTTCTCTGAGACATATGGCTGCTCGACCACCTCCCGGTTCCTCATCAGAAAGCAGTTGAAGTTGGGGAACGTGATGACGAATGTACCAAAGATGGCCGCCACCGCGCCCACCAACGCCACCACACTCAGCACCAACTTCCTCCGCATGGTGACCACACCCCTCGCATGCAGGAGGGTCACGGTAGCCACACCCACTCCCAGGGTCTTGTAGGGTAAAGTTGAGAATCTTTACTATCCTATCCCTGAGGGACAATTTGCTTTATAGCTAAAAGCTCAACCAAACTACATACAACAAACAAGTCTGAGCACCAGTCTGTTTATGCCATCATGCCAACTCCTTATCACTTTGGTTGGCTTGACTATGACAGCAATGGCGTTGGCAAGAGCACAAACAGATCTGGGACCATGCTACACCAGGATACATACATCAAGTAAAAATACTCAATGTAATACTGTAGTAAAAATCATGAGCTGAAGCACACCCCAAAATGGTTGGAGAGGTGCTGACTAATGGAGAGTAAACTGTTTTTTATTTATAAAGCCCTTTTTACATCAGCAGATGTAGTGCTATTCAGAAACTCAGCCTAAAACCCCAAACAGCAAGCAATGCAGATGTAGAAGAAAGACACTCTGTACAGTGCCTTGCAAAAGTATTCATCCCCCCTTGGCGTTTTTCCTATTTTGTTGCATTACAACCTGTAATTTAAATTGATTTTTATTTGGATTTCATGTAATGGACATACACAAAATAGTCCAAATTGGTGAAGTGAAATGGAAAAAATTACTTGTTTCAAAAAAATTAATAACGGAAAAGTGGTGCGTGCATATGTATTCACCCCCTTTGCTATGAAGCCCCTAAATAAGATCTGGTGCAACCAATTACCTTCAGAAGTCACAAAATTAGTTAAATAAAGTCCACCTGTGTGCAATCTAAGTGTCACATGATTTCAGTATATATACACACCTGTTCTGAAAGGCCCCAGAGTCTGCAACACCACTAAGCAAGGGGCACCACCAAGCAAGCGCCACCATAAAGACCAAGCAGCTCTCCAAACAGGTCAGGGACAAAGTTGTGGAGAAGTACAGATCAGGGTTGGGTTATAAAAAAATATTAGAAACTTTGAACATCCCACGGAGCACCATTAAATCCATTATTAAGAAATGGAAAGAATATGGCACCACAACAAACCTGCCAAGAGAGGGCCGCCCACCAAAACTCACGGACCAGGCAAGGAGAGCATTAATCAGAGAGGCAACAAAGAGACCAAAGATAACCCTGAAGGAGCTGCAAAGCTCCACAGCGGAGAGATTGGAGTATCTGTCCATAGGACCACTTTAAGCTGTACACGGAAGAGTGGCCAGAAAAAAGCCATTGCTTAAAGAAAAAAATAAGCAAACACGTTTGGTGTTCGCCAAAAGGCATGTGGGAGACTCCCCAAACATATGGAAGAAGGTACTCTGGTCAGATGAGACTAAAATAAATTGTTCTGCCATCAAGGAAAACACCTCTCATCACCCCGAGAACACCATGTTTTTCACCAGCAGGGACTGGGAAACTGGTCAGAATTTAAGGAATGATGGATGGCGCTAAATACAGGGAAATTCTTGAGGGAAACCTGTTTCAGTCTTCCAGAGATTTGAGACTGGGGCGGAGGTTCACCCTCCAGCAGGACAATGACCCTAAGCATACTGCTAAAGCAACACTTGAGTGGTTTAAGGGGAAACATTTAAATGTCTTGGAATGGCCTAGTCAAAGCCCAGACCTCAATCCAATTGAGAATCTGTGGTATGACTTAAAGATTGCTGTACACCAGCGGAACCCATCCAACTTGAAGGAGCTGGAGCAGTTTTGCCTTGAAGAATGGGCAAAAATCCCAGTGGCTAGATGTGCTAAGCTTATAGAGACATACCACAAGAGACTTGCAGCTGTAATTGCTGCAAAAGGTGGCTCTACAAAGTATTGACTTTGGGTGGTGAATAGTTATGCATGCTCAAGTTCTTTTGTTTTGTCTTATTTCTTGTTTGTTTCATAGGAAGAAATATTTTGCATCTTCAAAGTGGTAGGCATGTTGTGTAAATCAAATGATACAACCCCCCCCAAAATCCATTTTAATTCCAGGTTGTAAGGCAACAAAATAGGAAAAATGCCAAGGGGGGTGAATACGTTCACAAGCCACTGTATATGCTCCTAACAATTTAATGATTAAACCAAAATATTGTATATCATAAAAATGCATTGTATACTGTACATCACCTTGAAGGGTATGTGTGCTCTGACATTGGTAAAGATGGAGCCGTGGCCGGGCTGACAGTCACGCAGGTTGGTCAGGGTTATACCGTAGAAGTGGTCGAAGCCGTGAGCACTGGGGTGGTGACAGTAGTCGTCGTTCCTCTCACAGTTAAGACCAAGGTGCCATTTTCCTACAGTGGAGTGAAGGGGCAGATGATGGACCATATAAACTGGCAACTTGAGGCATCTACAAAGAACAACGGCCTTAAATTACCACACGTAAAGTGTTTTCAACAGTGGAGAAAAAAGGCAGATGATGCCAATTATTACATTTAATAATATGTCAACTTGGGTTACTGAAAAGCCTGTGAGGATGTTGTACATCAAAGAACAAGACCTTGAATGTCAACTCAAATGTAAATGTACTTTAGTCTGTTGTCTGGACAACCATTGAGAAGCCAATTTGAATATGAAAGCTATTATACTATTAAAATCAAATCAATCATGTAGCTATAGCTATACAGTCAGAATTGAAAAGACATTCAAACAACAAAACAGACACATTGCTGCAACCAATCAAATTAACTGTCACTGCTCACGCGTGTTCCCTATTCCCAAAGTGAGAAGTATTGATACAGACTCATGACGATAATAAATGGGTTATATGTACAGTTTTTCATGGACCTAAAGACGCTTTACATAGTATCAAAGAAAAACAAAGGAGAGGACTTTGGCTCACCTATGAGAGCAGTCTCGTAGCCCTGTCGTTTGGCGACCTTGGCAAAGGTGACTTCTTCACTGGGAAGACCGCCAGATGCAGCAGAGATAACATACACCCCTAACTGTCCAAGGCCGGCCATACCTGTTCAAGACAAAAATAGGATCAAAAATTGATATCAAATCACAAAGTGGAGAGAGTAACAAAAGTATAAAATCATACAGTGGAATGATGATGTACTATTCATCCTGCTGCATTGTGGTGAACATGCTATTTATCATGTTCTATGAGCTGTTCACTCCACTTAGCCTTACTAATGCATAGCTAACGCTACATAATACTAGTTCGGCCTATCAATACTAGCTAGTGATCTGTTAAGTGATCAAATAATACTACTAGGCAAAGCTTTGTGTCAAACCCCAGGAGGTAGGCTATACATTGAGCTCTTGTTGTTGTTGTTGTTGTAGTATATTTTATTACTATTGTATTACTATTTTTACTATTTCACGGTAAAGTCTACGCCCGTTCGGCGCATGTGACATCTAACATTTGATTTGATTTGTTGTTTATGTCTCGCCTCACCAGATCGTATTGGGTATCGGCCTGTCAGAAAGGCTGCCCTACTGGGCGTACAGAGGGGGGCAGCAGCGATGTGCTGCGTCAGCCTCACCCCCTCCTGAGCCAGCATGTCGATGTTGGGGGTCCTGCAGACACAACAACACAACACGGTAGGGCTCATCATCTGGAAGGAGGCGTTTTAGTCATGTTTTAAAGGTGTCTTCCGAGGATGGACATTTTTGTTTGGAATCACAACTACAAATGATAAGTAAATGTAATGCAGGAATGACATGCTTAGAAACATGGGATAGAACATAAAAAGCCTGTTGCAGTTTACATCACTGTAACTTACCGCAAGGTTGTGTTCCCATAGCAGCCCAAGTCTCCAATCCCCAAGTCGTCGACCATCATCAGGACAAAATTAGGCCTTTTGTCATCATTCAAGGCACAGCACACGTCAAACAACAACAGTAGACCAAGACAGCATGGGATCCATGTGGACTTCATTTTTCAAGGTAACACTGGAGAACCAGAGACAGAGGCAATACTTGGATAGGGTCAAAAGCATCAAGTTCCTCGGCGTGCACATCACTGAGCACACCGTCATCGTGGTTACTGAAGAAATTCGGCATTGCCCCTAAGACCCTCAAACTTCTACAGATGCAACATTGAGAGCATTTTGTTAGGCTCCATCACCGCCTGGTACGGCAACTGCTCCGCCCTCAACTGCATGGCTCTCCAGAGGGTAACGCGGGCAGTCCAACGCATCAACCGGGGCACGCTGCCTGCCCTCCAGGAAATCTACAGCACCCGGTGTCAAAGGAAGGTCAAGAAAATCATTAAGGACCTCAGCAACCCGAGCCACAGACTGTTCACTTTGCTACCATCCGACAGACAGAGACAGTACAGGTGCATCAAAGCTAAGACAGAGAGACTAAAAAACTGTTTCTATTACCAGGCCATCAGCCATCACTAGCCATCTACCAGGTGATGCACACAAACACTTCATAATCACAAACACACGCACATACACACACACACACACACACTGAACCACAGATCACTTCCCGTTTCACACTGTCTATTTAAATACTTTATCCCCGACATAGCACATCATAATAATTATTTATACTACTGTACATTGTATTTTAGTTACACTGTTTATACACAGCGCACATTTATTTACACACTGGATTCGTGACATAGCTTACACTAATATATATACTGCTGTACATATCATTCTTAGTTGATCTTGTGTTAATCCGGTGTACATATAAATACAGTGGGGAGAACAAGTATTTGATAACCTGCAAAATCGGCAGTGTTTCCTACTTACAAAGCATGTAGAGGCCCGTAATTTTTTATCATAGGTACACTTCAACTGTGAGCGACGGAATCTAAAACAAAAATCCAGAAAATCACATTGTATGATTTTTAAGTAATTAATTTGCATTTTATTGCATGACATTAGTATTTGATACATCAGAAAAGCAGAACTTAATATTTGGTACAGAAACCTTTGTTTGCAATTACAGAGATCATACGTTTCCTGTAGGTCTTGACCAGGTTTGCACACACTGCAGCAGGGATTTTGGCCCACTCCTCCATACAGACCTTCTCCAGATCCTTCAGGTTTCGGGGCTGTCGCTGGGCAATACGGACTTTCAGCTCCCTCCAAAGATTTTCTATTGGGTTCAGGTCTGGAGACTGGCTAGGCCACTCCAGGACCTTGAGGTGCTTCTTACGGAGCCACTCCTTAGTTTCCCTGGCTGTGTGTTTCGGGTCGTTGTCATGCTGGAAGACCCAGCCACGACCCATCTTCAATGCTCTTACTGAGGGAAGGAGGTTGTTGGCCAAGATCTCGCGATACATGGCCCCATCCATCCTCCCATCAATACGGTGCAGTCGTCCTGTCCCCTTTGCAGAAAAGCATCCCCAAAGAATAATGTTTCCACCTCCATGCTTCACGGTTGGGATAGTGTTCTTGGGGTTGTACTCATCCTTCTTCTTCCTCCAAACACGGCGAGTGGAGTTTAGACCAAAAAGCTCTATTTTTGTCTCATCAGACCACACGACCTTCTCCCATTCCTCCTCTGGATCATCCAGATGGTCATTGGCAAAATTCAGACGGGCCTGGACATGCGCTGGCTTGAGCAGGGGGACCTTGCGTGCGCTGCAGGATTTTAATCCATGACGGCGTAGTGTGTTACTAATGGTTTTCTTTGAGACTGTAGTCCCAGCTCTCTTCAGGTCATTGACCAGGTCCTGCCGTGTAGTTCTGGGCTGATCCCTCACCTTCCTCATGATCATTGATGCCCCACGAGGTGAGATCTTGCATGGAACCCCAGACCGAGGGTAATTAACCGTCATCTTGAACTTCTTCCATTTTCTAATAATTGCGCCAACAGTTGTTGCCTTCTCACCAAGCTGCTTGCCTATTGTCCTGTAGCCCATCCCAGCCTTGTGCAGGTCTACAATTTTATCCCTGATGTCCTTACACAGCTCTCTGGTCTTGGCCATTCTGGAGAGGTTGGAGTCTGTTTGATTGAGTGTGTGGACATGTGTCTTTTATACAGGTAACGAGTTCAAACAGGTGCAGTTTATACAGGTAATGAGTGGAGAACAGGAGGGCTTCTTAAAGAAAAACTAACAGGTCTGTGAGAGCCGGAATTCTTACTGGTTGGTAGGTGATCAAATACTTATGTCATGCAATAAAATGCAAATGAATTACTTAAAAATCATACAATGTGATTTTCTGGATTTTTGTTTTAGATTCCGTCTCTCACAGTTGAAGTGTACCTATGATAAAAATTACAGACCTCTACATGCTTTGTAAGTAGGAAAACCTGCAAAATCGGCAGTGTATCAAATACTTGTTCTCCCCACTGTAGATTGCATTTGATGACTGCTACAGTGCTATTTGGCTTGCTAATCAGATTTGTCCCGCCGTTCTTGATTTCTTGTCTTTTTTCTCTCCTTACAGTTTAATTATTTGACATTTTAACACCTGCTAATCTGTGTACGCGACCAATAAACTTTGATTTTTGAAGAGCGCTAGAGCCAATGTTACTAAGTACAATCGTGGTCAAAAGATTTGAGAATGACACAAATACTAATTTTCACAAAGTCTGCTGCCTCAGTTTTGATGATGGCAATTTGCATATACTCCAGAATGTCATGAAGAGTGATCAGATGAATTGCAATTAATTGCAAAGTCCCTCTTTGCCATGAAAATGAACTTAATCCCCCAAAAACATTTCCACTGCATTTCAGCCCTGCCACAAAAGGACCAGCTGCCATCATGTCAGTGATTCTCTCGTTAACACAGGTGAGAGTGTTGACGAGGACAAGGCTGGAGATCACTCTGTCATGCTGATTGAGTTAGAATAACAGACTGCAAGCTTTAAAAGGAGGGTGGTGTTAGAAATCATTGTTCTTCCTCTGTTAACCATGGTTACCTGCAAGGAAACACGTGCCGTCATCATTGCTTTGCACAAAATGGGCTTCACAGGCAAGGATATTGCTGCTAGTAAGATTGCACCTAAATCAACCATTTATCGGATCATCAAGAACTTCAAGGAGAGAGGTTCAATTGTTGTGAAGAAGGCGTCAGGGCGCCCAAGAAAGTCCAGCAAGCGCCAGGACCGTCTCCTAAAGTTGATTCAGCTGCGGGATCGGGACACCACCAGTGCAGAGCTTGCTCAGGAATGGCAGCGGGCATGTGTGAGTGCATCTGCACGCACAATGAGGCGAAGACTTTTGGAGGATGCCCTGGTGTCAATAAGGGCAGCAAAGAAGCCACTTCTCTACAGGAAAAACATCAGGGACAGACTGATATTCTGCAAAAGGTACAGGGATTGGACTGCTGAGGACTGGGGTAAAGTCATTTTCTCTGATGAATCCCCTTTCCGATTGTTTGGGGCATCCGGAAAACACCTTGTCCGGAGAAGACAAGGTGAGCGCTACCATCAGTCCTGTGTCATGCATCCTGAGACCATTCATGTGTGGGGTTGCTTCTCAGCCAAGGGAGTGGGCTCACTCACAATTTTGCCTAAGAACACAGCCATGAATAAACAATGGTACCAACACATCCTCCGAGAGCAACTTCTCCCAACCTTCCAAGAACAGTTTGGTGACGACCAATGCCTTTTCCAGCATGATGGAGCACCTTGCCATAAGGCAAAAGTGATAACTAAGTGGCTCGGGGAACAAAACATCGACATTTTGGGTCCATGGCCAGGAAACTCCCCAGACCTTAATCCCATTGAGAACTTGTGGTCGATCCTCAAGAGGCGGGTGGACAAACAAAAACCCACAAATTCTGACAAACTCCAAGCATTGATTATGCAAGAATGAGCTGTCATCAGTCAGGATGTGGCCCAGAAGTTAATTGACAGCATGCCAGGGCGGATTGCAGAGGTCTTGAAAAAGAAGGGTCAACACTGCAAATATTGACTCTTTGCATAAACTTAATGTAATTCTCAATAAAAGCCTTTGACACTTATGGAATGCTTGTAATTATACTTCAGTATACCATAGTAACATCTGACAAAAATATCTCACAACACTTAAGCAGCGAACATTGTGAAGACCAATACTTGTGTCATTCTCAAAACTTTTGACCACGACTGTATACGTCCCAAATGGCACCCTATACCCTATATAGTGTACTACTTTTGAACGGGGCAAATATCAATTTTAGAGCCCTACTGAGGGTCTGTAGAGTTTCTGAGAAACCATAGATAGCTACAGTTTAGGCCAGGGTTCCCCCAACTGGCCCACGGGTGATTTTATTTGGACATAAAAGACTGTAAAAAAAACACCAGCAAATCAGCTCCATGTGATTTTAATTTTGGAAATCTGCTCGAAAGTATTCCCACCCATAATAGAGAGATATATGTGATCGTATACAATGGTAAGCAAGGTTTGAAATGATTATGTTTTAGACAGATATGATATCTGTTTGGGCTTCTTGCTATCAATCTGCAGTCATGCTATCTGTTTCTTCACCATTAACTTCACCATGTCTGCATTTCCTCACCACCTTGCTCAGAAACCAATAACATGATGGGTCTAAGTTACAAGGCCAAACACAAACAGGCATGCAGACGGTACATGCCTGCTGTCTCGCCATATACTTCTGTAGCAATCAATACTATATTGTCAAGCTAGATTATAAAGAGAGAGAGAGAGAGAGAGATAATGTGTGTGTGTGTGTGTGGGGGGGGGGGGGGGGGGGGGGGGGGGGGTTATTGGCTCTTACATTCTTCTTGCTGAGCAGAAGAATGTAAGAAGTAAAGTGGTTATTGGCTAAGCATTAATGTGTTTGTTCCAAAGTCAAAAAAAGGTTCCTGAGTATTAGCTGGCTACCAACCGGTAACAGAAAGCATAGGCCAGTCCAACTCAGAAGACAACTTGGATACAGAACGAGGTTTTGACACCCAGTATTGACTCCCACGGTGGCTACTGCCTACAGTTATCCTGCAAGTTCAATAGGAACGCTCCTCCAAGCAATATGCGTTCAACAATTTCCAAAAATACCAACAAATAGATAGCTG